AGGTGAGATAACTTTGCTTGGCAGGAGCAGAGCAGTGCCTGATGTAAGCCAACTTAATTTGGATATCTTGGCATTACAGTGCTTGGATCTTTATTCAGGCTTCTGGATAGCTTTCTAATGTTTTTACTCAGCTCTGTGTTGCTGGCTCTGGAGCAGTTCTACTGTCCTGGGGAGATACTAAGTGCAGCTTTGCTTTTCCAGTGTCTATTAACCAAGAGTTGCAGGGGCAATATTGGTTTTGGAAGCAGCAGCACATCTCACTCTAAGTGGAGTGAAATTTGCAGCAGAGTAGTGACTGGGAATTTTTCTATTCTTTCCACAACTAATGCAAAAACACATTTAAATTGAAGCATCGCACTGGGCAGCACTGCTGATAGCAATCCACCTATCTTGGGCCTTCTATTGTTTTTAAAGTGTTTTCAGTTTCTCAGCAACTTTAAATGCCTGCTTTGGAGCTGATTTTTGAACTTCAGCAGAGAAGAAACCTTAAGCTAGAGAAGTCCCTCCTTTGTTCTGTGAAATTCTTTTCAAGTTTTGCTGAAATCTCTTTTTCTTGGAAGTCTATTTTCCGTGTCTTCTTTGTATTCTCCAGGCAAACTTGGCTGTATGCTGAAATAACTGGACACAAATATTCTGAAGTTGGGCTCATGCTGACGTCCGAGTCCTGTTAGGAACAGGCACTGTCCTGTGAGCATGTGGGTCGTGCTGGAATAAGGGACAGAAGGAAGAATTTTTAGACAGATCCATGGTGTTATAGTTACGTGTACTTAAATGTATTTTTTAAAACGGAGAAATTTATATAAAAATATATAAATATATAAAAAGTTGAAGCTTTGGGGTTAGGAAACCATAAATTTAGGTTTGCCAGGAACATAGTCCGATTTTGTGCCCGTGTTATGGCACTGGTGTGGGGTGTGTTGAGAGGGATTGGTCTGGGAAGGGCAGTGCACGGTAAGCAGGTACAGTGACAGGCTGCCCCGAAAGGGGCCATTCCGCTCCCCCATCCCTGCTGCCTGCTAAGAAGTGGGCAGTTTTCTGCTGAGCTGTGAAACGGAGTCGGTTGACCCTGTAGCTGACACGAGTGGAAGCCGCGCAAGGATGGGGCAGGGCTGCGCACCAGGAGCGGGGCCTGAACCCCTCCGAGGCAGTGAGCAGTATCGTATAGCCCCATGGGAAGGTTCAACAAAGAATTGTGAATTTGATGTTCGCCAGTCTTGTGATATTCAATTTAACTTTGTACACTTTTGTTTTTTCTCTCTGTGAAATATGGTGCCTGAATTTTCTGTCTGACAAATTCTTTCCTGAAAAATTCCAAAGTACATGATTTGCTGTCAGTAAGTGCATGGAGTGCTTCTGTAGAGCCCACAGGACTGATAGGGGGTGCGTGTGTGTGTGTGTGTGTTTGTTTCTTAAAGCCAATGTGAAAAAGGCTCAAGGCAAGTAATCAGTTTTTGAAATAATATTGTATTTTTATTTCTGCTTAAAACAATGTTGTCTTTCAGTTTGTGCTTAAAATCAATTCTCTGAAAATGTACCGTTGGGGTGGGGTTGTGTGTGTGTGTTTTTTTTTTTTTTTTTTTTTTTTTTTTTTTCTTCTCTTTTTCGACCTCTTTAACCAATTGCAGTAATATATTTTGAAAAATTCTGCTTTGGAGTCTTATTTCTTCAACTTCTGTGTTTCAGGGCTTGCTCCTGCTTGGTCACCCTGTTGGCTCATGCTCTGTGAGAAGCGTGACATTTGCTGGCAAATGAGACTCCCCGTTTTGATCCTTTCTCTAGTACAGTTGTAGCAGCAATGCAGGGATATCACTGCTCCTCATCCTGGATATTTTTATACAACTTTTTGCTCTCTTTGACCTCTGGTTCTCAGACATTTTGGAGTTAAATTACTTCAGTTCTACTCTGAGAGTGTTTAGAGGGCCAAAAAGATGTGTGGCAGAGGAGCTGTGTTGAAAGATGAGAGACTGCTAGCAGATAAATTTATTCGACTCCAAATTACATGCACCATTTTTGCATCTCTGCATATGATTAGGGAAAACATCTACAGATAAATTTTGGTATTCGATGTGCTTAAATGGCATAATCACTTCAATCTGTCATCAAAAGCTTTCAGTGTTGCTCTCTTCTTGTAGCATGCATATTAGCTTGAGGCCTGAGGAGTACTGTTAGTGTTTTTAGTTTTGCTCATGATATAATGTCATGCATGTATTAAAGCAGTTGCATTAAAGCTAAACAAAGTTCAGCTGGAACTGAAGGTGAACTATATTGGATACTAGTAACATTCTTATTTTCAACCTATTTCCTGTTCTGCTATTTCTGAAATCTTTGCGGACATGCTGGAAAAAGATAAATATTTTTAACTTGATGCTCTCCATTTAATCCTTCTATAAAAAGATCTAAAGTAGTTTGCTAGGTTTATACCGAGTCTAGCTAAAATTTGTTTTTACAGCTGCTGTGAGTGTAAATCTCCCCGAGTACATTTATGTAAACTTGGCCTAATTCTGTGACTTTCCAGGGCACTGATTGGGTTCTCGATATCAGATTTTAGTCATGCACGTTGTACTTTTTTCTTTTAGAAGCACTACTGCTTCTGAGACCATGGCAGGGGTTGTTCGCTTGGGTGCTACTTAATGGTGTTTGGTTTTGCAAATTTTTATTTTTATTTTTATTTTTTGCATTGCTGTATCTAGGGGTGCGTGCTTAGCATTTCTCCTTAGCATTTACTTTGACAGCACTTTACAGGAGGAGTCACATGCAACAGACTGACTGTATCTTCTGATAAGTTTCCCTGGGTAGCAAAAGGAGGGAGTGGGATGGATCTTCCTCCTTTCTCCTTGTACTGTAAACATGGAGGTTGGCAGTTATGTAAAATAAGCATGTGGATCTGGAAATACTTCACAGTTCAGTTGGTAGGCATGTAGTTTAATAGTAGAGCGTGCAGCAAGGGTGTGGATATTGCATGCAGCAATAGTGTGGATGCTGATCATCTACTTTTCTGATTATTATAGACAGCTTAAGTCTGAGATTGCATATAGCAAATGGCTCTTTAATTTCAGAAACTGTTGTAGTATTTGGTTGCCAGCTTTAATTCTGATTTGTACCCCATGGAATGTACGTTTTCTGCACTTCCATGTTGTGCAGTGGTTGGTCCCTGGAAGGAGCTGTGCTCGTTTGGAGAGGGTGTGAAGTAGCTTGACACATGACATGGGGACACGTGTTAGGATGCCAGAGAGCATGATCAGCAGCAGGTTGTTTTGTCAGGCGATGATATTTTGGCTGCAGACTTTCACTTGGGGGAAAAATGAGGTCCCTGGCCCCTCGAGCTGTGTTGGTGCCTCTTGTAAGGATGAGATGACTGCTTAGACATGTCTGGCAGCTCCTCTGGTCTCTCCATGCCTGCTAGGCTTAAAAATGCCTCAGAAAGATGACTGCAATGAAGCACTGAGTATTGTGTGTACCAGATGAGGCAGTAATGTTGCAGAAACGCACATTATTTTTTTCATTAAACAGAATCTAATGGTAGGGCAGGTTTTCACGTGCCTTTTGGCAGTTGCTCGCAGTTGGCCAGAGCTGAAGTTGCTCTGGTAAATCCGATGGAGGTAAGGGAGTCTTTGTAGCCCTTACCTGTAGGGGTTAGGCTAGGAAATCCTGGAGTGCAAATTCTTGTTCCCTCTAATAAGGAATGAGCAAGCTCAGGGCACTTCTGTCCCCCAAAACCTGAGAAAATAGAAGCTACAAAGAGAGTCAGCTCCCTGTCTGCCTGTTGGGATTCCCAGCATCTCACAGCTACTGCGGCAAAACTCCAAAGACTCCTGGGGACAAGTGTCCCAAGCACTTGGTCTCCTTGCTGGCATCCATCCATGTTCCATGTCAGTCCCCTAGTTCCCAGTGGAACTGGGACAGAGCACAGAGGACCAGCACAGAGGAGGCTTGGCAGGGAGCAGGGAGGACGGTGTCGTGGGTTGCTTGGGCTGAGAATAGCGGTTGAAGTCAGTCTGCTGCAGTGCAATAGCAGATGCTGGCATGGAAGTTCCCAAGTGACTTGACTTCTGTGACTTTGAGTGCTTGGAAATTGTGCATTTTGTAGCAAGACTTTTCTAAGCTGTTGTCTGTGAACTTGCTAATCTTGAACTCTTTGCTGTGAATGTAATTTTGTGCCCTACAATTACTGTTTGGTAACTTGAACTATCAGATAAAGAAACGAGTCTGTATTGGCAGACTTAGGAAAGTCTTGTAATGGAAACTTTCTGGCTACCCCACTTCTGAATTGAGGACAAGTGATGTACAAAAAAAAAAACATAGAGGGGGAATCATTTGCCATCGGAATCGCTTTACCACATTATCTCCTAAATGTGTACTCTTAGCTTTGGGCACTTACAGTTTGTTTTTAGTTCAGCTTGCATGTTATATAGCTTTTATGCTAGCTCCTGCTGCTTCTATTATTGCAAGGGTTTATTACTATTTTTATTTTGAAGGAAATCTGTGGTCAATTCTTAGCTATTTCCATGTTAGTTCTGATTTTCTGTTAGTTGATTTTGTTCTGGAAGCTTTACCATGCAAATCCCCGTGGCAAGGTAGGTTTTGGCAGCAGCTTGTGTAAATGGTTTGCTGATGGATGATACTTGGTGACTGTCTGTAAATGCCTCGTTTGGCAGGGTTTGCTGACAGCAGTCAGCTACTGTGTCTGCACTTTCTGCAGTTGTAACTTCTGATGACCAGTTAAATGGTAGGGGTAGGAGAATGACTGATCATGAAAGCAGTCTTGGAAAAATGTATTTTACTGTGGGTGTTTCTTTTCCTGAAGCTCTTATGTCAGTCATACAGTGCAGCTGTGGCAGGTGTCTGCTGCTTTTTGGTAAGATACCCTCATGTTATGTGACAGTCTTCGTATTTGTACATGCCTTGATGAGAGTATTGGTAGCTTTGAATCCTGATCTCTAAATGTGTATGCATATCCGTATTATATAAAGGTGCTTAAGAGACCTTTTTCCTCTCAACAGGTGGGAAGGAGAAACCAAAAACCAATGCAGAGGAGCTACAGATTAAAAAAGTTAAGAAGAAAAAGAAAAAGAAACATAAAGAGAATGAAAAAAGGAAGCGTCCAAAAATGTACAGCAAATCCATTCAGACCATCTGCTCAGGATTGGTTTCTGATGTTGAGGATCAGGAAGCCAAAGGCATCATAGATGATCATCTTAAGGATTTCAATGGGAAAAATATGGATCCCAAGAAGGACTATGAGTCCAAGATACCAGAGAACAGTGAGTTTCCATTTGTCTCGTTAAAGGAGCCACGGGTTCAAAATAAACTCAAAAGGTTGGACACATTGGAGTTCAAACAGCTGATTCATGTTGAGCACCAGCCTAACGGAGGTGCATCAGTTATCCATGCCTACAGTAATGAACTCTCCCACTTATCTCCTGTGGAGATGGAGAGATTTGCAGAAGAGTTTGTGGGTCTGGTTTTTAGTGAAAATGAAAACTGTGCAGCTTACTATGTAATGGGTATTGTTCATGGGGCAGCTACTTACTTACCTGACTTTTTAGACTACTTTTCATTTAATTTTCCCAATTCACCAGTGAAAATGGAGATTTTGGGAAAGAAAGATATAGAGACAACGACAATGTCAAATTTTCATGCTCAGGTAAGAGGTTATACATTTTACTTTATAATTCATATAATGGTTTCAAGCAACTGTAAATGACTTTGTATTCTTAAAAAAAAAAAAAGGCACATCCTGTTAGTCATGCTGTGTGGATAAAGGAGTAAAGGAGAAGACTAGAAGCAAGAGAATTCTTTCAGTTACTTCCACAGTATTAAAGAGCCTGTGTAGACTGTGATGTAGCGTTGGTTTTTATGAGGGAGGGGAGCCGTGTGCATGCATGTGTATGTGAACCTTTGTGGACTTGTTCCCTGTAGCTAAAGAGCAATTTTGGAGCATGAAAATTATGTAGCTGTGGATATCTGGGCCTCTAAACTGTAATTTATCTGTATGAGCTTTTCATAAAACTGAAAAAAAGAAACAAAACATTATGAACATTATTATAATGTTATTCACTCAACCTGTATAGAACATTTAATTGTAGTTTCCTTTCCATTTCAGAGTTCCTAAAGCCATTTTTACAGGAGTCCATAACGGTTGTTAACTTTACTGCTAGTGTGATCAGCTCCCCATTTACTCCTAGTTAATGTGTGTGTTTGAATATATAATCTTTAACAGTAGCAACTGTTTCTGTATCATCACTAGTATTTATTAGCTGTTTGGACAAGATACACATCTGTTGCATGTAAAATTTCAGCTCCTATATGGTTAGGAGAGACCTCATAGATTATCACTGTGGTGGTGAAGGTGCTCTGTACAAACCTGTACAGTGAGTCTGAAAATGTTTATGAAGAAACTCAATCCTGTTCTTCACTCTGTCAAATTTAGATCATGGTTACATGTTTAACTTGAGTAGAACAAATCTTTACAAATCTGTGACTTAAATGGTGTATGGAAAGCCATTAAGAACTGTCTTTACTTCTTTTGGATCAATAAAAGTTCAAATGTAAGTTAGTCACCTAATATAGTTTAACTGTATAAATACTTGCATGGGCAACTTTACTGAAATTTCTGTACTGAAGTACTGACAAATCTTAAGTGTGTGTTATCTGTAAGGATCAACTGAGATGTTGGTGCACGGGAACACTTGGGGTGCCTGTTAACAAAAGCGTTCTGCTACTGAAGACGATCATTTTATGAAATTATTCACTAACACTTTTCAGTATGGAAACTAAATCATTGCCTTTATAGTGCTACTTACAGAATGTGTCATGGGCAGCAACCTTGAGCTGTTCTGTTTTCGGTCATTTTGTATAAGAATTTTCTTGTATGTATGTTCTTTAATCCCATTTTTGTAACCTAGATGAAAAGATAGTATGTGTGCTAAAAGAGGGCCAGGCTAGTCAGACTGCTTTAAGACATGAACTGAAAACTTCTTTAGTGTCTCCTGAGTGAGGATGGATGAGGGCTAATAGCATCAGCAGCCCTGCAGGCAGTAGCTGGGGAAGTGGTTTTTTTCCTTATTGCTTCCTGTACCTAGGGTACTGTGTCCGGTTTTGGCTTCTCCCAATACAGGAAGATAGACTCAAGTTTACCAGCAAGCTTATCCACGAATCTAGTGGAGGGCTGCCCGACCTGGTCAAGGTGTTGGAGCACGATGTGCAGGGAGAGGCTGAGGAACTGCTTCTTTACCACAAAGAACAGGAGGCTTCAGGAGGACCGACCTCATAGCAGCCTCCTGATGCCCTCAGAAAGGGTCACTGAGGTGCATGGCAGGAGAACAAGGAGTGGTGGTTGTTAGGTTGAACGTGAGAGGCAGGGTTCTGCCTGGAGATAAAGAAAACTTTGATTAAAGCCCTGGAACAGATTTCCCAGAGGGTTTGTAAATCTCCGTCTTAGAGACATGCAGCAGTTAAGTGAGAAGAAGCCCTCAGCAACCTGGCCTGAATTCAGTATCGGCAGAGCAAGGGTTTGCACTTGTTGACCTCCTAAGGCCCTTCCAGATGGAATGAACCTGTGATTCTATAATCTCTATGAGGGAAAACTGGCCTTCCTTCTCTTTGCTTCAAGTGGTAAATTCAGGATGGTCTTCTGTTATAATAATAGCCCAGTTACAGGAAGAAAGAAAATGGTTTCATGTTTTCCTAGTTTATGAATAAGCATTGTTAATTCCTCAGTATGATTTATTTTAAGAAAACTTGTGCTTGAGTCCTTAATACCTAAAGTTGGCAGGCTCTGTGATTCTCCATTACAAAGATAGATGTAAAGCAGAAACATTGGGTCCTGTGTGGCTTAAAGCCTTTTATGGCCATGCAATCACCTCCTGCAGGTAAGTCAACTGGTTAAATAACATGTATTAGCATGTAAGTACTGTGAGTGTCTTCAGGAATGTTAATAAATTTGCCCTCCCAATGCAGACATTCGATTATTTTCCTAGAGAGCTGGTGTCAGCAAGGACTAAGAAGGTCTTTTGCATTCTCTCAAGCAAAGAAACTAATGCAGTTCATGGCATCTGCTTCTACAATACTCCAGACTTTATAGTGATCAAATACAAATGTTCTCTTTTTTCTTTTCTTTTCTCTATTGTTTTCTATAATGCTCTCTTCTCTTTGGGGAGTCCTTTGAGATCAGAATTTGTGCCCTTGCAAAAGCAAAACACTTTGGTTACATCTTGCTATATGGAGAAGAATTTATTTTTAATTGCAAGAGGAAAAAAGTACATTTTCATTCAACAGCTGTATGTTCATGTAGACCTTGATATCCCAGTGGATAATGCGATTTGAAGCATAATGCTGAAATTCACATGCATGATCAGAGATACCTTAGGATGTTTTGTGACTTCTTCCTAGAGGCTTCTCTCTTCTTACACTGGTTGGCAACACGTCACATTTCTGTGCTACAGTGCAGTGTCCTATAGTCAAGTCTTTTTGCTCATGACATTAGAGATTGTGGAGAAGTAAGATATGCTACTTTTCCCACAGTTCCTATGTATTTCACCCCAAACTTCTTATTCTAATTCAGTTATATATTTGCCTATTGCTGTTTCTTCATGAAAATAAATTTGTATGTATTTTGCTGTATCTTAGGAATCATAAATGCAAATGTAATTGTGTGTTAATAGTGGTCTTAAAGACATAATTAAAACCCCTTTTTTTGTTTGTTTTTCCAAATCGCAGTGGAAGTGTCTTATTAAAAGGATTCATTAGCTGCTACTGCAACAGTATCCATAGCTAAACTAGTCCTGTGGTCGCTAGTTTTGAGAGCATTTTTCTCTTTTTTCTGTAGCTGAATGAAGAGCTGAAGGAAGAGCAGCAGGAAGTCAAGCTCTGTATGACAAAGCATTCGTGTTAGTCACTATCATAGTCTCTCTCTTTCTCTCAGGTTCCCCAAGAGTGTTTTGGCACTTGTCAGAGTTTGGGTGTCTGGCAGAAAATATTGGCTCCTTATGTATTTTTGCTGCCATTAGGAGTGCTTACAAATAATGTGTACAGATTTCACACCAAGCTTCCTTTTATCTTCTTCTGCGCAGTATCACAGTTCCATGCAATATTTAAGCCAGATCTTGATTGCCTTAGTTGTTTTTATTTATTTATTTATTTAATACTGAACGGTTTTCCACCTTATTCTGCCTGCTTGTGCATTCCATGTAAACATGCTGCGACTGAAAGATTTATGTCACGCTCTCCTCCTCTGAGACTGGGGTCAGTATGAAAGGTACCGGGATCAGAGTGATGCCATATCAGACCCCCCAGCTTGCAGGGTTACACAGGTGCTTTCCAAATCTGATAGTGACGTGTAGTTTAACATTCATAAAATATATATTCCTGCATGAATTTCTGATTTCTTAGTGCCAGCCAATTGTTTTTCAGTCTTCTACTTTTGTAAGAAGGTCACAATTTATATAATCACCAAGTAGTTATGTGCCAGTTAGTATTTTCTTCTCTGGTTGGATCCTCAGTAGCTCTCTAGGGAATTGTATGTCCTTGCAGCATGTTTCAGGGAAACTTCAAGCTTTGCAAAAGCTCTCTGTGGTTCTCTTCACTGCTAACTGCTAGACCTTTAATTGGCAGCTTAGGGTGTTACATAATCTCTGTTGAGAGATGAGTCATTTTCAGGTGTCTGAGGAGGAAGTCAGTTTGTCCAGTTCACTGCAAATGCCTGTCCCAGTTGTCTTCAGACTTAATAAAATTGGCCATTAGTCTGCTAATTTTGCCTGACTGAAATGCTGCAGTGAGGCTCGCTTCAGCAGATGGGCATTTGGTTGTTCAAGGTCTCATCGTAGCACATGGAGTCAGTGTGGCTAATGTGGATTAACAGGATTTAATATATGCATAAAATAGAAATCTGTGGGACTTTACAGAACAATCAGCAAGAAGGAAGTGTATCCAAGTTGCTGTTTAAGCTAACAGTTGCAGTAGTCCGTAGTGAGCGTCTGTGTTCTGCTTTGTGGTGGATGATGTGGATTTGAAGGGGGAGGAAGGGCTGGCAGGGTTTTACTTCAGTTTTGCCTCAGGCCCCACCAGTCTCTACAGAGTTTGCGTAGAAGGAGTCCTAGAGATGTCTGATGATTCCTGTGCTTCAAGGCAGGACTATTTTAAGCCATGACAGTGGCTTAAAACAACCACTTGTGTGATTGAAGTGTTTGCTGGGGAGAGCTCTCTAGGTGATTCCATGTTTTCCAATGGAGTTCTTTGAGCCACTTTCCTTCTTGTCTGTCTCCTTATCTTAATCCTTCTGTGATTCCTTTTATTCAAATCCTTAGTGGACAAGGAAAGCAGTTCATGCTTCTCTTCAAGTGATCTCCATAGCTGAAAACTATTTATCATTCCCCCCCAAAGCAGGTTGGCACTTCAGTTATTTTGCCTTTCCCTGACCATTCTTGCTGCCCCACGTCCCATGCTTCTCCAGTCTATCTGCATATTCCTTAAAATATGGTACTGCAAATAGCTCGTGCCCATCTGAAGCCTTGCTGTTACCAAGGAGTGTGAAGAATTGCTTTGGAGTCTTCCAGCGATGCTCTACATGGCCTGTCTGCTGCTGCCTTCTTTTCAGAGCAGTTTAAGGTCTGATGTAGCAGTGGCTCCCACCACTGCCCTTTATCA